AGTCAATTGGATCTTGATCAAATTCTCTTGATTTCTGCTTTAACCTATGATAGATAGAATCTGATTAGGTTAAGAGAGCTTCCTTGATTGATAGTAGTGTTTTTGTTGTGCGAGAGTCGATCAATTCACTGCTTTGTACTGGAATTCATTCCAGTAGTGGAGATCTGTGTGAATCGCCTTAGCAGTCTATCCCGGTGAAGGCTAGTCGCCTGCCGGGTATTCTGTCTGAGAGGGCTTGGTCAGCTTAAGAGATTCCAAGCTAATTTAGGATCTTCCGCAGTTTAATCAACAGTAGATCAACCAAAGGTAATTGCAACTTGGACCTAATTGAGGAGCTAGGGGGAATCATACCTAAGTGAGTTCCCAACTTGTAATTAGTAGAGTAGTCAGTAGAGTAGTTTATCAATCAATTCTTAATCTAGTTTGCTAGATAGTGAACTGAAGCTGAGTAATAGTAACTCTAGAGACCCGTGGATTCGATATTTATTACTTGTGCCACTATATTGCAATCCCTTTCATTGGTTACACTTGGCCATTGTTAGGTGTTGTGTTTTAGCGAGCCAAGTTTTTGGCGCCGTTGCCGGGGACTTTCTAGATTATTAGGAAAGGCAGAAGTTTGTTACTTTGCCGTTTTTTTTCTTTTCCACCCTTGCTTTTCACTTGGGTGTTTTTGTTTTTGTTGGTGCAGAGCTGAATCATGGATCCTCATTGCTTCTCCAATCATTGGGGGTATCCACCACCATCCGAGTGGTATTACCCCGAGACCCCCTGGAGCAATCAAGGAGGAGAAGACTATGGATTCGGGTTCCAGTACCAACCCCCTTACTACGGAGAACAACTGGACCCCTGGGCATATCAAGAACAACCTTATTACCAAGAAGAATTTCTCCCACAACCAGAAGGGCCATCGGCGCTGGAGTTACCCATGGCGGCCTTCACGGGCCATTCTGCAGAGCCATGCTACACTCCATAGCCAGATCCAAACTATGAATTGAGGCTTCTCATGGAGAAGTTTGCTCGAGATTGTGAGAGATCATGCTCCAGGATGGATCATTATGTTCAGGCCTATCGTGAAACAGAGGAGATCCTCCTGAGCCTTAAGAAGAGCATCGATGATCTTGAGCGATCTTTCGCACAACCTGCTCCAGATCACCCTTATGTTACCATACTAGAAGAGGAGGAGGAAGAAGAAGGCTACAAGGACATTGTGGAGCACAGTGAAGCTGTCACGGAGAGCTCTCGTGATGATCATGATCAGGAATGTCATAGCACAGCCGACCACACCTTCCCACATCCCAAACTAAGCTTTGAAGAGGCGGGCATGAGTGAGGAGATGCAAGAAGATCTCATGAAAGAAATTGCTTGGCAACTTGCTCTCCAATCCGTGCTAGAAGAAGAAGAGCAAGAAAGGGTGCAGAAGGAAGTTGTGGAGGATGACGACAGTGAAGCAGGAGGAGTTCTTGATCATTTCCCAGGGGTGATACCACATGAACAAGGAAGGGAGGTTAAAGGAGCAATTGGCGTCCAGGCTGAGGACGAAGCTGAGGTGGAAGAGGCTTGCACCGGCCATGAGTTACATTTGATATCTCCACCAAACTTCGAGGAGCTACTTAGCAAGGATCCATTTGCAGTGTCTCTTTGCCATACCAAGGCCACGTCGACATCGGTCCCTCTTGGTGGACGCGATGGTGGTCAATCGATGCTGTCATATCTGGTTTGGGGCAATGAGACGGGAGAAGAGAAGAAAAGGTCTCGAGGGTGGAGACTTCATCCGCATCAAGTGCACGAGCTTCCATCACCTGTCATACCACATGCTCGTGACTTGAGACTCCACCTCATCGACGAGAACCTCAACTTCAAAGAGGTTCTGGGGTGGACCGAAACTTAGGAGCCATCGTCCGGCTCACGACGTGAAAGAAGCGCTTGTTGGGAGGCAACCCAACCAGTCGGTTTGCATTTCTTTCCCTATTTCTCTTCGGTTGAGTCAGTTTTGTTCTTTGATTTTAGAGTCAATAACTCAACCTTTGTGAGATTTTGTGTGGTGTTTGTGTTCCGACTACTCTCTCCTCCTTGAATGCACCGCCTGCCCCGTTCACCATCATTCACCATTGATCTGGTAACTTCGTTCTACTGCTGTTTGATCATATTGGCACTGTGTTTTGATGCATGACAACTTGTTTGTGACTAGGACAACCTATGATGAAGACTGAGATGTGCAGTAGAACGATGTAGGGGTTCAGTTTTTCAACTGTTTGCTTGCCAACTGTGACTTGGATCGATTACTTGTTCTTCACAGTCGTTTATGCATCTAGTTCAGGGTATCAGAATGTGGGATAGAGCATATAGGTAGCCATGTGAGATTTGAGCCTGCTCGTTTCTTTCTTGTGCGATAGATCCCTCTTCCATGATGTGTAGCATTCACGTTGTCATTAGCTAAGATGATGGGGGCATAGGATTAGCCCATGCCCAAATTGACTGTCCTGATGTGTCATATCCCCTAGTCAGCCCATTTGAGCCGTGTGTTATCCTTTCTTTTGGTCTATAACGAAAAAAGTCACCCTTGTTGCATCTTTTAGAAGGTTTCACAGAGTGGTTTTTTCATATTCTCTGCTGTTTCTGCTATAATTTATGTGAGTGTTGGAGGTAGTGCTTAAAAGTTGGGCAGGTGTTTGAAAAATGTGCAGAAGTGGTGGCTCTCTTGAGAAATGAAAAGAAAAATGAAAGTAAAACAAAGAAAAAATTTAAAGCAAAAGAGAGCCACTACCAAAAATCTGAATGACGCCCATTAAGTAGTGTTTCTTAGCAGTCTGGCATGGAAATGCTGATGTTTATACCTCCTTCGCTCTTGTGCTCTCGAGATATTGAGTAATGCAGAATAGCAGAAAGAAAATACCGGTTTGTTTGACTGTGATTGTGTGTTTGGAAATGTGGAACCTTGTGCTATGAATACTTCCACCACTTAAAAGGCCTTTTCCCCATGTCCAAGACCCTAGCCAGTCATTTGAACCTGTGTCTAAGACCTCCTGATTAGTTAGTGGTGACACCCCATATGTGAACTCTAGCATTTAGAGGCTGCCATCATGGTGAAGAGATTATAGGGATTGAGAGAAATAGCATGCGCATGTTTCGCATTAAATTGTCCTGACCCCACTGGTCGAGAGTGAGTGATTCATTTTCATACTCTTTATACTCTTGTACCCCGGTGAGGACCTAGATTGCTCGGTCTCTGTTCTGATGTCTTGAGTTGGATGCATGAGTTGACTGTTTTGAGTCAGTGGTTGAGTCAAGTCTAGGTTGGCTGGTGAACAGAAGGGAGACTCTTCCTTTACTCGATTTTGCTGCACTCGAATGTCCTTTGTGGTGGTTGTCCAGGTTGCTATTGAGGTTGTTCATGTGTTGATGTTTGAAAACCAGTACGATTCAAGTGTTCTGTGCCTTTATGACTTGTCCTCAATGTTGGTTGATTGAAATATGTAAGCTTACCTGGTGTCTGACTTGGTTTGTTTGGGGACAAGCAAACGGTTAAGTGTGGGGGAGTTTGATAGACCGTTATTTACACATGTTTTTACCCTCGTTCTTACACCGTTTGAGGTGTTGATTCTCGTGTTTTAGGCCAATTTCACGCTAGGTTGTGCTTGTTTGTGATATTTCAGGTCCTAGTACGTGAATGGAGGCTTGGGAGCGAGTCTGGGGTCGATTGGACGAAGATCGGACGCGTGGCGAGGTGTCAACGAAGCCGCACGGGCAGAACAGGGCATCACACGGCCGTGCAAGTGAGCAAGATGGCCGTGTGCTTTTTGCCGAGGCCACGCACGGGCAACCCATGAACTTCACACGGCCGTGCTAAGTGCAATTCTGGCCGTGTGATATTTGCCGAGGCCGAGCACGGGCAAACTGGGATTCTCACACGGCCATGCACCCTGGCCATGTGACAAGCCTGAGGATCGAACTTAAGGAAACGTTGCGTTTTGAGCCGCACGGCCACTTGGGTGAGACACACGGCCGTGTGGCCTGGCCGTGTGAGTCGGGAAATTCTGGTTTTTAACCCAAATTCGAGCCAAAGGAGAGAGAGAGCTGGGTTTTGGATCTCAAACACCCAAGGGACGAACCCTAGAGAGAGAGAGCGACTTGGGAACATTCTTGGAGCTATTTTGGAGGATTTCTTTGCCATTGGAGCTCAGGAATCAAGCTTGGAGATGGAGATTGAAGATCTAGATCAGATTTCTGCAGTCTCTCTCTTCTCTATGGAGTAACTTCCATTCACTTAGGTTTTGAGGAACCCTAGTTCCATGAGTTAGGATCTTTCTTGTATGAAGTTTTGGATGCTATATTGTTTGATTATAATCGATTGAGGCATGATTTATTGAGTCAATTGGATCTTGATCAAATTCTCTTGATTTCTGCTTTAACCTATGATAGATAGAATCTGATTAGGTTAAGAGAGCTTCCTTGATTGATAGTAGTGAATTGGTTGTGCGAGAGTCGATCAATTCACTGCTTTGTACTGGAATTCATTCCAGTAGTGGAGATCTGTGTGAATCGCCTTAGCAGTCTATCCCGGTGAAGGCTAGTCGCCTGCCGGGTATTCTGTCTGAGAGGGCTTGGTCAGCTTAAGAGATTCCAAGCTAATTTAGGATCTTCCGCAGTTTAATCAACAGTAGATCAACCAAAGGTAATTGCAACTTGGACCTAATTGAGGAGCTAGGGGGAATCATACCTAAGTGAGTTCCCAACTTGTAATTAGTAGAGTAGTCAGTAGAGTAGTTTATCAATCAATTCTTAATCTAGTTTGCTAGATAATGAACTGAAGCTGAGTAATAGTAACTCTAGAGACCCGTGGATTAGATATTTATTACTTGTGCCACTATACTGCAGTCCCTTTCATTGGTTACACTTGGCCATTGTTAGGTGTTGTGTTTTAGCGAGTCAGAAATCATGGGAAAAGATAAATAGAGTAAGTGAAGCATGAAGAATAGTCAAGTATTAAGGACGTGGTAAATGTAATAAAAAAACAAAGTGAATGTTTCCTTTGGATTATATATACTCAAAAGCACCTTAACTCTAAAGTCCCCAGGTCAAGCTTACCAATTTCATTAGTTTTAACCACTAATCACCAATCTACAGCACCACTCAAGCATGGAGAAAACCAACACAATGTCAAAATTTCTCCAAACCTGGATCATCAAAACTTAAAGTCACGACTACAGTAACCAATCAAGTATGCTAAGAGGAAAAGAAAAGTTATTTACGAAGCTCCTTATATCTAGTCCAGTCACTTTTCTCCCACCACTTCCAAGAAAGATCAAGAAACCCAATTAAAAGCAATCCCCACCTAGAATGATACTTACTCTCATTGTACAATGGATTGTAAATATGATTATAAACAATTGGAAGAACACAAATCCTACTAATGCAGCATACTCTAGGTGAGCAATCACCCGAAGCATACTTTTCATTTGCAAGTCAAGCCAGCAGCTAGAACTCAAATTTCCAGATGAAGGAGTTGAGCTGCTACGAATGCCCCACCAAAGCTTTCATAACAACAAAGCTTTCAGACCCTGTTCGCACAACCCGTGTTAGGAAAAATAGTCTATCATGAACCTAGAATCACAACCACAAAGAACTCATCTTAAGCCTACATGGTTTCGAAAATAGATTTATTACTGATTTCGGCGGTGAAGACGGAGAACAAAGAGTTCGATTACCTAACTAAGCTTAACCCTATATGGAGCCGAAAATAGATTTCTACCTGATTTCGGGGGTGAAGACGGAGGACAGAGAGTTCGATGCAGATCAATGAATCGACACCAGGCAGTGCGATTGTCTGATCTCCATTACAGAGCGCGATTGCGGGAGGCTGTGAGAGAGTGCTGCTCGGATACTGTATGATTTCGGCTAGACCTGGCAATCGGGTCGGGTTGGGTAATTTCGGGTTGGAAATCTCGGGTTACGGATCTTCATGGGTCGGGTCATGTTGGGTTTGCTGATTCTGGGTCAAATATTGACCCAACCCATCGGGTTTCGGGTCGGGTTTCGTGTCATTTCAGGTTATGAGCGTTCTCAGAAACAATATCAAATATGCTTCATAAATTTTTAAAGAACACAATTTTTAACATATGGGTGACAATAGTTTGCCTAGCACATGTTAATTAACAAATGCCCAACTCCTTCCATGCTAACGAAAAGAAATAAAAATTGCACAAATCGTGAAAAAACAATGACGAAAATAATACTAATAAAATAAACAAATGATGTTTGATTATCTTTACACTTCCAACTTGTCTTTCAAATCCATATGAATTTTTTTTAACATCTCACCAAAGTATGAGAGATTTTCTCATTTTGAGAGTGACATATACAATGAAACGGGTCTAGCGGGTCGACTCAAAAACCAACCCAACCGACCCAAAAACTATGGGTTAATCGATTTCGGGTCATTCCGGTTTCGGGTTAAAAAACCCTCAACCCATTCTCTATTTTTTGGGCGGGTTCGGGTTGGGTCAACGGGTCGGGTTCTCATTTGCCAGGTCTAATTTCGGCGGTGAAGACAATGACCGAGAGTTCGATTACCTTCAAAACTACAGTTCAATGAATCGACACCATGCTGTGAGAGATCGCTGCTTGCCACTCGGATGCTGGCTGATTTCGGCGGTGAAGACGCTGGACGGAGAGAGCTCGGATGCTGGCTGATTTCAGCGGTGAAGACGCTTGACGGAGAGAGCGCTGCTCGGATTGACAAAAAAAAATCAGCAGGCCTGTTGAACGTCACAATAGGAGCCGAGGCAATTTTTGTGTTTCCGAAACTACCCTTCCGAGAAACGCTATGGAGGTAAGGATTTTGAAATGGAGCTCGTGTTTTTTCCTTCAACGTATTATATTGTGTGTAGATTCAATGGTGGTCTAAACTTTTGTTGCACTCATGTGGTGAGTTTTTCAACCATTACTCCGCCAGATCGGCAGAGCTTTGATAAGTTAACAAAAAAAAAACCCTGATACGCTGCGCACCAACAAACAATTCCCATTTCCTTCCATTAAAAAGAAAAAATATTTAAAAAATAAAAATGTGACAGCAAATATTTAGTTCGGCTATAGGCATATACGCTTGGCAGTAAAAGCATCAAGTTTAATTGTTTTCTCCTTTTCTTCTCCTCCCATTAATTAATTAATATTAATAACAACAAAAATTATTATTTCATTATTGTTTTTAGTTCCTACGCTTTCCCCTGAGCACCACTCATCTCAAGCCCTGCGCTACCAACAAAAGCAACGCAACACCCTCTCTCTATTTCCCATTCATTCATCTTCCCCAAAACCCAAATTCAATCCCCAAATAGGAAAAGGAACAGACAGAAACAATCATAGAATCAGATAGCCGTCCGTAATCACAACCCCTGGCCGCCGATCAAAACCCATCCATGGCGGCGAAAGTCTCGAATTCCCCGACTTCCAACAGCGGAGGCGGGAGCAGCAGCAGCAGCAGCAACCAAGGCCTGCTTCTAGGTCGGTACGAGATCGGGAAGCTGCTTGGCCATGGCACCTTCGCCAAAGTCTACCACGCCAGGAACGTCAAGACGAACGAGAACGTCGCGATAAAAGTAATCGACAAGGAGAAAATCATGAAGGGCGGCCTAATCGCCCACATCAAGCGCGAAATCTCCAACCTCCGTCGCGTCCGTCACCCGAACATCGTCCACCTCTTCGAAGTAATGGCTACCAAGGCCAAGATCTACTTCGTCATGGAGTACGTCCGCGGCGGCGAGCTCTTCAATAAGGTCGCCAAGGGACGCCTCAAAGAAGACGTCGCCCGCCGCTACTTCCAGCAATTGGTCTCCGCCGTCGCCTTCTGCCACGCCCGCGGCGTCTTCCACCGCGACCTCAAGCCCGAGAACCTCCTCCTCGACGAGAACGGAAACCTGAAGGTCTCCGATTTCGGGCTCAGCGCCGTCGCCGATCAGATTCGCCAGGACGGCCTCTTCCACACCTTCTGCGGCACCCCTGCATACGTGGCGCCGGAGGTTCTCGCCAGAAAGGGATACGACGCCGCGAAGGTAGACATCTGGTCCTGCGGCGTAATCTTGTTTGTATTGATGGCCGGATACCTTCCATTCCACGACCAGAACATTATGCTCATGTATAAGAAGATCTACAAGGGCGATTTCCGCTGCCCTCGGTGGTTCTCCCCAGAACTCGCCAAGCTGCTGACGAAACTCCTCGACACGAATCCGGCGACTCGAATCACCATTACGGAGGTAATGGAGAATCGATGGTTCAAAAGAGGGTTTAAACACATCAAATTCTACATAGAAGATGATAGGGTGTACAATGTAGACGAATTGATGAGTCAGGAGCAGCCGGACGATGCAGGTTCCTGCTCGGATGCCTCAATGTCTGAATCGGATTCCGAATTCGAATCACGACGAAGAGTGACGTCCCTACCGAGACCGGCGAGCTTGAATGCATTCGACATCATATCGTTCTCGCCCGGGTTCAATCTGTCCGGGTTGTTCGAGGAAGGAGGAGGGGAAGGGGCGAGGTTCGTGTCGAGCGCGCCCGTGTCGAAGATCATATCGAAGCTGGAGGAGATTGCGCAGCTGGTGAGCTTTACTGTGAGGAAGAAGGATTACAGAGTGAGCTTGGAAGGGTCGAGGGAAGGAGTGAAAGGGCCGTTGTCGATCGCAGCTGAGATATTCGAGTTAACCCCCAAGTTGGTGGTGGTTGAAGTGAAGAAGAAGGGTGGGGATAAAGGGGAGTACGATGATTTCTGCAACAACGAATTGAGACCTGGGTTGCAGAAATTGATGATGGAGGAATCTGAACGAGATGCTTGTGGTGGCGGCATGGGCTCTACTGCGGGTTCAACAATTGATTCCCCTCCCAGGTTGTCTACTGATTCATTGCAATCATTTCCTTCTACATATGTACCTTCCGATACAGAATAAAACATAGCAAGGAGGAGGGTACTGGGTAAGCTTGTTCAAAAGCAGCTGCCTTTTTTGTATGATAATTCTTTGGTTCTTAATCATTTCTTCTTGTGGGTTTCCTTTCTTCTTGTTCATTTTTGTTTTACTTGTGCTCTGATTTGTAAATTCTGTTCCAAGTACGGAGAAACACAGAACTTAGATAGGATCAAAGAGAATGGAATACACAGAGTTTTCTTGTTTTTGTCTTACTGCAATTGAGAGTTTTCTGCAATGTGCGTTACCTGCAAAGTACAAACCAACTTGTTTAAGGCAATAGATATGGCTTGAATGTACCATCCATATGGTTAATTCCCGTGTCAGTTTATATGAGAAGGTAGGTGTGACAAACCCTGTTTGATAAAGTTTGGTGCTTGGCCACGTTGAGCAAAGATAGTCTGTCTGTCTGTCTGTCTGTTTTTTGTGGGGCACCAAAAGAAGCTAAAACAGAGTGTCAGCAGTGGCAGTGGGCACTGGAAATGGCAAACACTCTCCTAATCTCCTTCCTTCCCAACTTGTTACGCCATAACGTGCTTTGGTAGGTCTCAGACTATCGCCTAATGCCATGTACCTTCACATGTACTAAAAGCTGCATTGACCATAAAATTTGTACGGCAGAATGATCCTCCCTTTAATAGCTGCAGAAGTGTTGTTTCTTTGCTTATTTGAGATAAGGAAGGTGTAGTAAAACACAAGAAGAATCGTTCGTACTACCCCGGATCGAGAGATCATTAGTTATTGTTGTCGAGACGGTGTGTAATCCCGACGACCATCGATCTTATCCTCTGCTATCCCCTCTCATTGGTGTGTTTTGTTAGGGGGAAACATGTTTGTTTCTCTCATTTTGCTTGCTGGGTCTAAGGAGGGGGGATGATTTCATCAGTTTTCTTTTCATAGCCGGATGACGAAAATGGCGAGTCGTGTCGTTTTGGTTCCAACAAACGTTGCGTACAGGAGATGTCTCGAGAGAGGCTGGTGGCGATGATGATGAAATCATCATATCATATCGCGCTTTAGCTTTTGGAAAAGTGGAGACCTTTTTTTCAATTATGGGTGCTGATATTTCTTTTGTTGTTCCAACAACTGGACCCTCGCTTTGAGAAGCATTTGCAGCCGTTGCTTTTTCCAGGAGTGCTGATGAAAGCCAGACATGGACAGCAATTTTCCACTCAGGCTCGAGCTCTTTTTCGCTATACACTGAGCTATGATATAGTAATCTAATAATAGTGCAATTTGCTTGGTTGTTAGTAGCTAATTCCTCCAAAGTTCGTGGCGTCCTCTCTCTCTTCTCTGTAGTTTTGTTCAATGGTTTTCTGATTGCGCGTCTTGAGGATCCGGTGGCACGTTCCGTTTGGAAATACCTGGAACCTGTCACACCTTTCCTTTTCTATGGAAA